TGTCTTTAAATTCTATATCTGACGAAAGTCATATGATATTTATCTTTCTTTGACTGACTTATTTCACTTGGCCTTACACCCTTTAGGTCTATCCACGTTATTGCAAGTGACAAGATTTCATTCTTTTTAATCACTGAGTAATATTCCATTGTGTACCACACCTGCTTTACCCATTCATCTATCAATGGACATTTGGGCTCCTTCCATTTCAGCACTTTGAATATATCTTCCCACAGCCATATGGTCTTCATGTTTTCCGATGAGAAATCAGCCGATCATTTTATTGAATGTCTTTTATACATGATGAGTTCTCTCTTGACAGATTTAAGATTTTTATCTTCATCTTTGGCTTTTGGTACTTTGATTTTGAGGTGTCAAGATGTGAATCTGTGAATTTATCTTGCTTAGACTTCTTTGAGATCCTTGCATGGATAGATTAAAGTTTTCAAAATCAAATTTGGGTTACTTCCAGATATTGTTTCTTCAAATATCAGCTTAGCCAGATTCTTCTCTCTCTTCTCTTTCTGGTACTTTCATTATGTGTATATTGGTATCTTGATGGTATCCTACAGGTCCCTAAGGCTCTCTTCATTTTTCTTTTTTCTTTCTACTCCTCAGACTGGATAATCTTGACTGACCTATCTTTAAGTTCACTAATTCTTTCTACTGTCTTCTGAAATCTGTGGTTGAATCCTTCTAGTTAATTTTCCATTTTAGTTATCATACTTTTCAAATCCAGAATTTCTGTTTGGTTGCTTTTATAATTTCTACACCGTTTATATTCTCTGTTTGTTGAGACATCATTTTCATACTTTCTTTTAGCTCTTGGACATATTTAAAATATCTGATATGTCTTTGTCTAATAAATCCTATGTGCTTCCTCTGGGACAGTTTCTATGAATTGCTTCCACCCCTTATGTATGTATCATACTTTGTTTATTTGCATGCCTTATAAAATTTATTGAAAACTGTACATTTCAAGTAATATAATGTCAGAACTCTGGGAACTAGACTCTCCCCTCTCCTCAGAATTTGTTTTGTTGTTCATTGTTGAAATTATTATTTGTTTAATTAATGAATTTTCTGAATAAATTCTATAACATCTCTATGTGTAGCTACTGAAGTCTATACTCAGTAAGCTTATGGTAGACTAACGATTAGACAAAGATTTTCTCAAATGCCTGGAGTCCATAAGTCTCCAAGTTTTTGCTTGGAGTCTCTGTTTGTGTTGCTACATAAATTCATCACTCAACTCTGGTTTAGTCTTAATTTCCTGCTAATGTAGAGCCTCCAGGAGGTCAGAGGTGAGAGCTTAGAGCCTTCTCAGGTCTTGCTGAGCATGCTCACAGCTACACCCAGCCCTAGGCAGACAGGTATCCTAGATTCCTAGAAATTCTTCAAGTGAGGCCAAATAAGAAGCAATTTGCATGAGGTCTTCCAGTGAACCACCATGACAAACAACCACAATTATTTGGAACTGAGCTTCATTCTACTTCCTCTGGAACTAGGAATATGGACTTACTTTTTAAGGCTATCACTGAGCTGAGGAGCAGGGAGTCGGGAGTCAAAGTGCTGCAAGCTTTCTGTTCTTACCTAGATTCACCATATTTCTATATGTTCCCAAGGATGCTAGAAGCCTTTGGTTAATTTCCAGAATTCTGAAAAAGTTGGTTCTGGTAACTTTTGCCTTTGATTTATTGTGTCTATGGAGGGTTGAACTTTTGGAGATCTGTACTCTGCCACTTCCCACTGACACCATTCTTGTCACTACTTCTCTTTATACATCTGTCCACTCCCTGTTGTGTGTGCCCTGTTACTTGCAGCAGAGTTAAAGAACTTTATAGTTCTTATGCTAGTCACTCCCTAACTGGAGTCTCTGGGTCTCTTAGTTCAAATTGCTGTGAGAGAAAATCTGATTAAAACATCTCAGGCAATGGAATGACTCACTCTGTACTACTAGTTATCTATCTATATTTGTAATGAGTTGTGTTGAGAGGTAGTGACAAAGAAAAGAAAGACAAGCAGTCTTGCATTTCTAGTACAGACTTCACAGTTAATTTCTCCCTCTCTCATGCATATTCTGGAAACTTGTTTACAGAAATGCAACCCTCGGGGCACTCCCCTCAGGTCTAGGCCAGCACTCTCTTCCCACATTTCTTTCTTTTTTTTTTTTTAAGGTATTTATTTATTAAGATTTTATTTATTTATTCATAAGAGACACACACACAGAGAGGCAGAGACACAGGCAGAGGGAGAAGCAGGCTCCCTGTGGGGAGCCTGATGTGGGACTGAGTTGGAGAGACATCTTGAAGTTTGGGGAGAATTCATAGAACCAAGATTGAGTTCTGACTGCCTCATGAAGCCAAGAAGAGTTTTGCCATCTAATCAGAGCTTGCCAGGTGGTTTTCATAAAGCAGACGCTACAGGTATGCCCACTTTATACCAGATAGCTGCTGCACAAATAGAACATCTTTACCAACTTTTAGACCAACATAAGGGGTATGATATGGCCTCGCCAAAAGCCACATTATTATCACATTCAAGTCAACAGCCACTTAAGAGTCCTGATGTTTTTGTAAGAGCTTGTTGCAAAGTGATGATGAGAACAACTTGTGTAAATATTGTTTACCACCATGGTGAGTTGTAAGACCAGCTGAAGGTGCCCTCTTGATCATAGTTCATTAGGTAGTGGAAGATAGAAGAGTCTCTTAGGTAGTGGAAGATAGAAGAGTCTCAAGCAGATCCATCCAGGTGGGGTTATAACAAAATACCAGCTGCCCGAGAGGTTAGAGAAGCTTTGAAGAAAATTATCTGAGCCTTCAGATACATTACTGGTGAAGCAAGTGGAAAGTTACTGATTCCATTTTGTGTATCCAGCTCCATGATACTTTTTTCAAAGGAAAATATATGCAAGCTCACATTAATATTTCTAGGGAAAAAAGCATGGGCAGGATTGAAAAGAAAAAATACATTGCAATACTACTATTTGTGTTCAAGGAGCAGAGAAATACATGAGATTACAAAAGAAACTCATTTACAATCCAGATTTTGAAATCTCAACCATTTGCTGCCTTGTGTCAGGAACAAAAGCGCACCTATCAGAAAAGACAGAGGATGATCTGTTATGTAGTTTCACATATGATTCCCTATAATATATTGAGAGTCAATAAGCTATCATCCCTCATTTTATTGGTAAGAGAATTGAGGTTCGGAAAGAAGGCATGACAACCAAGATGTAAGGAAATACCAAGTACTGGTTATCTCTAGCTCTATCCAGTCCTTAAGGCAGGCTACTATTCCCCAGGCTCTAGGATTACCTAATAGAGTAAAGTGGCTGACCTCACAGGTGTGATAGTGGGGATGGAGGCCAGCCCTGCTCTGCTCCTCTCCAATGCTCCCTGCTCCTCTCAGCTGGGGACTCAGGTCTCCTTTCCAGCACCTGCCATTTTACATGGTCCTGGTTCTGCTTATGTGTTCTCACAAATGTAGATCATTTATGCTCCATGCCTTGTCTTGCTCCACCTCTTCTGTAAAGTGAAAAATTCTATTATTTTCTAAAAGGCATTTAGAACAAATGGTTTACATTCGTAAATATCAAAATGGAAAACTTGAATTCAACTTGGCTCTTCTTCCACCTCCAAGAGGAGAAAGAACTCCCCAGGGCCAAGATTTGTGACTTACATCTAATTCTATGTCCTACCTCCCACTCTACTGTGGAAGCTGGAAGTCGAAAAACCAAATCCTAGTCTTTCCAGGCTCCCTTGCAGAGAGGGTTCTGATTCAGTTTTTGCCAGTTATATTTGCTCATACAAAATTTGGATGGTGGAAGGGATGTGGAGGCCACCTTTCTGCAGAGATGGTGGCTGGTAGGCAGCTTGTGACCTCCATGTTTGCAGTGACATGTGTGAGGGGGACTGTGCTGGTGGCACTTGTGTGGGCAGGAGCAAACATAGTCTCATGAGCTGCTGTGCAGTGGTGTGGTCCAGCAGAGGCCCCTGCTTTCCTTAGCTCCAACTCTTCCACAGATGTTGTGGAAGTACCGAGGTCCCTTATTAAATACTTTTTAGGAATATCTGCTTACCAGTCCTCTAGCTAGGCCTATGTTCTGTTTGCTGCAGCTGTATAACAAACCATCCCCAAACTTAGTGGCACAAAATAACAATTTTATTTTGTTCACAAAGAAGGCATAATGGGTATGGTTTGACTCTGCTCCACCATGTGGGGGGAATGAAGCTGTAAAGACTTGACAGCTGAGGGTGACGTACCCATTGGGGGGCTGGAGTCATTTAGAGACCTCCTTATAGGTTTGGTAGTCGATGCTAGCTAGGCTGGAACGTCAGCTGGGGCTACCAATCAGAGCACCCACATGTGGCTTCCCCATAGAGCCAGGGCTTCCTCCTAGCACAGTAGCCCCAGGTTGATCAGACTCCTTATATGGCAACTAAAGCTCCCACAGTGAATGAACCAAGAGAAACAGGTGAAGCTTCCCTGGCTTCTCTGGCCTCATAGGTCACACCTTGCCACTCTCACTGCACTCATTAGGTTGAAGCAAATCACAAGCTGGCCCAGATACAAAGGGGAGCAGACATGGTCTACATCTCTACATGGGAGGAGCTTCAAAGAATGTATAGCCTTAATTTAAAAGCCCCTTAGCCCTCTTGGGACACCTGGGCAACTCAATCAGTTAAATGTCTGACTCTTGGCTTTGGCTCAGGTCATGATCTCAGGGTCCAGCATGTTGGGCTCCTTGCTCAGTACAGAGTCTGCTTGTCCCTCTCCATCTGTACTCTCCCCACTCTCTCTCCCTCTCAAATAAATAAATAAAATCTTAAAAAACCCAAACAAAATGCTAGCCCTCTTTCCACAGGGAATCTCAGTAATCACTCTCTTCCCAGTTTCACTGTGTAATTTGAAGGCATAAGGCATGATGGTTTGATCTACACATATTGTGAAATGGTTGCCACAAGAGGTGCAGCCAACGTCCATCTTCTACATAGACACAAAATATGGGATGCTTCCTGAATTTGGGTGTCATCCTTACACAGGACCATGCTAGTCTTCTCTGTGGAGTTTCAGTTTAGGTATGATGTTTTATTAGGATAATGATGTCCTTGGATCTACTTCTGTTTCCCACTCAAACCAACAAGTTTCAAGTTAGGAAAGAAAAAGAAGCACTTTAACAAATATGGAGGTAAGAAGAAAAATATACCTGCTTAGTATTATATACTTTGAAGGATTTCTCTAAGAAAGAAAGAAAGGAAATAAGAAAGAAAGAAAGAAAGAAAGAAAGAAAGAAAAAAGAAAGGAAGGAAGGAAGGAAGAAAGAAAGAAAGAAAGAAAGAAAGAAAGAAAGAAAGAAAGAAAGAAAGAAAGAAAGAAAGAAAGAAAGAAAGAAAAATGGCTTTCATAATACATTTCCAAACATAGCACTTCGAGTAGGTAGAATCAATACAGGAAAGTAAACATCCTGTCCTGCAGGGAAACCTTCCTTGGCTTCCCCATTTATCAGGCTCACCTGTTCCAGGTCCTCATGGTAACCTGTCCTTGGTCCTCCTAACAGGTGTCTCAGTTTGTGACAAAATACTTGTGTGATTTTTTTCCATAAACTTTTTATTGTGACAAATTTCAGATATACAAAAATAGACAGCTTGGTATCATGAACTCCTAAGCCATCATTACCAACTTCAGTATTGTGTCAACTCCTGGGCAATTCAGTTTTATCCACAGTCCCTGTCCATTTCCTCCCTTTTGAATCCAATCCGAGACATCCTATCATTTCATCTGTAAATATTTCGGTATGTCTCTCTTAACAATAAAGCCTCTTTTTCCTAAACACAACTGCAATAATATCACATCGAAAGTAAGAACAATAATCATTCAATAACAAATACCCAGTCAGTTCCAAATGTTTAGCTATTGTTGTTAAGTTTTATAGTTCGTTTGAATCAGCATCTAAATAGGAGTCTGGTCGTGGGATTAGTTGATATGTCTTTTAAGTTTCTTTTAGTGTGTAGGTGTTCTTTTCCACCTCTTTATTTTCTCCCATTGTAATTTATTTGTTGAAGTAGATTGTTTGTCCTATGAAGTTTCATAGAGGCTGGATTTTGCTGACAGTTCTCCGTACCATGCCTAATATATTCTACTGTCCTTATTTTTTTCTGTAAATTGAAAGGCAAACAAGAGGCTTTTTCAGATGTGATTTATGTGATTCCTTTGAGTAATGTCTGTCTCCTTCTCTAGACTGTGAACTCCATGGAGACTGTGAACTCATGGATATTTTTCTCTCAACTGAAAATTTAGCACTTAGCATGCTGCCTTGTATATGATAGTAAATATGAGTTGAATAAATGAAGGAATGGGAACACACACAGGAACTGGGCATCTAGGAGTGAGCAGCTACACCTCTAGACAATGAACTGTAATGCTCCCCAGCCCCATCAATACAGAAATTCGTTCCTGAATGCATGTCACATGCCACACTCTGTTCTGGGCATCAGGATACCTCAGGAAACAGGCGGAATCATACCTTCTCAGGCCTAATAATCTGTTCAGCTAATTTTTCATAAGGTGACAACTCAGAAGGGTCCCCAGAGGCTTCTGGATGCATAGCAGCCATTTGTGACAGCAAAGGGAAATTCTGGGACTGTTTCAACTCAGGTGAGGATTCTAGCTCCATCATTGGCTAGCTCTGTGACCCTGGACAGATAGTCTCATTTCCCCAGTCTGTAAAATGGGGTAGCCTTGCTGACTTCATGGCTTGTGTGAGAGTGTAGCTGACTCTTGGTGCTCTGCTCCTGTCATCTTGGTCGGTTCTTGTGGCTTTCTGTCTGGAAAGAATTTTGGCCTGGTGCAGCCAAAATGCAGATGCAAAGTGCTGAAGATGTGACTCCCCTCAATTCCTCCAGCAATCCTCAGTCAGGGGAGATGGTGAATAAATACTCCAATTTTTTCAGTCCTCAGTGACACAGCAATGAGTTGTCTCCCTGCTGTGTCTCAGAGGGTCCCCATTGTGATTGCGAGTTCCTGTCACCTGCACAGTAACCTGCTCATTAACACCCACTGTGCTGGCTGCCTTCCCTATTCCCCATCCTTCCACATGCCCTCACCCTGCATTCTGGGATCACCTCCCAGGAACCATGTTCACCCACACCTTTACTCTGGCTCTGCTTTGGGATGGAGCATCAAAGGAAATGAGGCATACCTAGGAGCTGCCCTAGCCAGAGCAGGATCCAACACGTACATTATATCTAAAGGGGAGTTGAAAGTGAGAGAAGCAGGAGATATTTTCAAATCAGAAAGGAATTCAAAATCACAGGGATTGGTGGAGATTCAAAGGAAGCTTCCCCATTCACTTAGGTCTCTCCCAGATCAGGCGCTGAAATGTCATAGCTCAGGGCTCAATAGTCAGAACTACGCCCCAAATCATTGGGAATTGTTATATTATGATCGCTGTACTCTCAAGGAGAAGGGAAGGGTTGTGAAATCTATTTAAGAAAGATCTCCATAAAAATGAGTACATTAGAAAAAGACTGGCACTTTAAACAGATGGCAAGCTGCTATTATTTTGGAAAATTCACCAGCGTAGCTGGGCTCCTTCCTGGGCAACGGCAGATAAATGAGATGCGATTGTTCTAGCACCTGCACCAATGTGTTCGCCTTGCCTTGGACAAGGTGTGGCTGGGCATTGTCAGTGGAGTGGGCTCCTAATTAGATGGACTATTGTTCCAGGAATCAAAGCTGTAACCAATGCCCATACCTTATTCTGCATAACTCAACCACAGTATGCAGAGAAGTGAGAAAATAGGTGAGAGAGTGAATAACATTCTCAGGATCACATTTCATGCAGACCACTGCATTTCCCAGCAGATTCTTTTTATTTTAATTTTTTCACTACCAAGGTAATACGTGATCATTACAAAACCACGAACAATGAGAAATATATAAAGTGAAAGCCCTTCTCCCATCCTCCAGCCCCACTTCTGGGATGCACCATTATGGACGTCACATGAAATAGTCGGAAAGGTGTGTCTAGTCACACATCCACGTTGCTTTGCCTTTCTCACTCTGCCGTCTATCTATCCCTGACATTTTATTCCGCGGGATGTCTTACAGAATTCAACTGCACGGATGTCCCACATTCTATCCAGTCCCCCTTTGGACATTTATTTTATACAAATATTTGAACATGGGACATCTTTGTACATAACTTTGTGTATTTATGAGACGATTTCTGCAAAATGAATTGCTGGAACTAGACTGACCAGGTTTAAGGGCATGCACAGTTTTGCCTTTTGCTTAATACTTTCAAACTGCTCTCAAATCAAGAGAAAAAAAACCACCATTTCATGGTTGTTTTAATTTGCATTTCTTTTAAAAACAGTTATAATTAAGCTTTCCACTCCATTTAAAAAAAGATTTTTCATGAGAGACACACGGGTTGAGGCAGAGACATAGGCAGAAGGAGAAGCAGGCTCCCTGAAGGGAGCCCCATGCAGTGTTTTATCCCAGGACCCTGGGATCACGACCTGAGCCAAAGGCAGATGCTTAACCGCTGAGCCACCCAGGTGCTCCTTTTCTCCCCACATGTATTGGCCTTTCCTATGAATGGTGTGAAAATAAACAAGGACTACCCAAATGAGAACAATTAAAGGTGATTTATTCAGGGCTTGCTAGAGCAACGGAGCTGGCCACCATTTGGGGGGTTTGGCAGAGACTCAAAGGCAGGCAGAGGGGTTAGAAAGATTTGCAGTGGGAAAAAGGGAAGGCTTCAGGTCAAGTGTGCCCTGATTGCAGTTTGTTGGCCTAGGGAGGCTGCAGGGGGGGCTAACTAGCAGCCAGCATCCTGCATGACTGGTTAGAGGTGCATGTTTGACTTTCTCTAGTCGGTCCCAAGTTGCATGCAGGGGCATAAATTAGGGAAGCTATCAGTTATTGATTGTCCTGGCTATTTGGGACCAGTTGCTGCAGAGATGGTGGTTTTGGCTTCCTGAACTGGTTGCTGCACAATGTGAATTACATTTCTATTTTCAGGTAGGGTCTGGCCATGTGTGTCAGTCTATCTGGCCTCCCAACTGTTTTTTTGTTTCTGCTACCTAGATTTCTATTGGGTTGTTGATATTTTCTCCTGGCAGTTTGAAGACTTGGCATAGTGGGGAGACTTTTCAAGACTAAGAAACATGTGTGGATGGTCTCTCCTGCAACGCAGTTATGTTGCACAGGAGGAAAAAGGCATTTTCAACCCCACAAAATAAAGTTCTCTGCAGAAACAAAGCAAACCTGTCTGGTTCTTGTTCGAGGCATACATAAGGTTGGAGGTGGGGGTGCTATCGGGGGCAGAGTTTAGGGTGCCTCTATAGAGTGGGACAGAATGGGACCCCTGGAGGCTGTGCATCGTGGAAACTCCAGAAGATGCCCAGATGGCAGTTATTGACATTGGTGCCACTCTGCACAAAGCTTACATTTAAAGATCTGAAAACCTTCATCATGCTCCAGACTAAAGTTTAAAATGAATACTACGCATCTCCTTAATCTTGGGAGAGCCAGCAACGGGTCATTTACCAAAAAGTCTATATGTGCCTCTTTTGTGTGTGTGTGTGGGGGGGCACAGCATTGGGTCAAGGAAACTTGGCTGTCACATTAGCTACCTTCCATCTGGCAGGTTTTGGAGTCCCCTTTTATGGTTTCTGAGCTCTGCCCCCACCTGACATCTGCAGTTTCTTTTTTGGAGGACTGCCCCTGGGCTACCAGTTCCTGGAAGTTCAATTCCTCCTACTTTTTAACCTGTAAAGAGGGTGTGCAGGTATGAAAGCTGATCCGTTCCTTTAGCACAACTTCTACTCCAGAGCTCCCCATGGGACCCTATCCCTGGCAGGTGTTTGCATGAGAGGCACCCCTGCCTGACCTGCTCCTTTTCTTTTTCTTTTTTTATTAATTTTTTTTATTTACTTATGATAGTCACAGAGAGAGAGAGAGAGAGGCAGAGACACAGGCAGAGGGAGAAGCAGGCTCCATGCACCGGGAGCCCGACGTGGGATTCGATCCCGGGTCTCCAGGATCACGCCCTGGGCCAAAGGCAGGCGCCAAACCGCTGCGCCACCCAGGGAT